GAGAAGAAACAAAGCAACCTCGGCGTCCGATCGCAGGCCTTCCGCTCCTTGAGTTCTCTCCAGTGCTGGAAAGCTGATCCGATATTTACACGGGTCCTACTTCTTGCCTTATTGCCTTAAGCCTTCTTTTGTTCCGCAGACATTTTCCTCTTTTGTTTTTTATCCGCCATCTCTATCTTTCTGTTGCTCGGCTCGGACTGAACGCTCTCTTCTCCACATCATGAGTAGACACGCCCCTTACTGCTGATTGGCTACAAGTTTGTTTTGCTATTCGGTCCGAATCAGTTTTCTGAAGCGTTTTTGAAAAATCGCTTACCCCACCTTTAACATTACATCAGTTAATGAAATACGGTATTGTATTGTGAATTTAAGTTAAGTCTGTAAAACCTAAAATGTTGCTACCATTTTTTTTACGGTGCGGTTCTGGCAACCACAGCTGCCGGTATTTTACCGTAAATGTCACTGATTTTTTTTTACAGTGTATTGCTCCTGTTTTGGCTTATAAAAGACAAAGTGATGCACTATTGCTTTATTGTGTACTTAAAAAACATGGCCACTGTTAAACAGGGTGTATATGTATGTATGTGTATTGATCTGGTGTCACAGTGACCCAATGCTGACCCCTTTATCACTGGCCTGCTTCCAGATATTCGAGGCATACGGCCAGACAGAGTGTACTGCAGCCTGCTCTTTCACAATGCCGGGAGACTGGCATACTGGTGGGTTCCTGTAACTGAAAAACATGTTTTTGTCTGTGTGTGTGAAACAACACACTGACTAATTTTGTATACTGTTGATTTCAGGTCATGTTGGAGTTCCTATTCCATGCAATATTGTCAAACTTGTTGACGTGGAGGAAATGAATTACTTTGCATCCAGCGGTGAAGGAGAGGTAATGGAACATAATTTTATAAACCATATACTAAAATGTAATTGAAACCTCTTATGGCTTTTCTGTTTCGTTTTAGGTTTGTGTCAAAGGGAAGAATGTGTTTCGTGGATATCTCAATGACCCAGAAAAGACAGCAGAGGCTTTAGACCAAGATGGATGGCTGCACACTGGAGATATCGGCAAATGGCTGCCTGTGAGATCCCTTGGTTTCTCTTTTTTTTAATAATGCACCTTAGAAGGAAGGAAATGTATAGGTCTATTGTGTTGTGATATCAGCAGGCAGCCAAGGACACAAAGTCACAAAACCTAAAGCTGAATACAATATGTGCATGATTTTTAGCTCCAAAATGAGGAAGAGGCTTAATATTTTTTGCGTTTAAATAATGCAATGGTAATAAACTCCAAGAAACACCCTGTTTGACCCCGTTTTCCCCAAAATACATTACTATACAGTAAACTACCATTCAAAAGCTTGGGTTGGCTTAATAAGAATTTTTAAAAGAAATGAATAATATCAATAAGCGAGGATGCATTAAATTTATCAAAAGTAACGGTAAAGACATTAAAAATGTTTCAAAATATTTCTATAAGATTTCATAGTTTCCACCACAACTGCTTTCATCTGTGATAATAATGTTTATTGAGCACCAAATCAGCATATTAGAATGATTTCTGAAGGATCATGTAACACTGAAGACTGGAGTAATGATGCTGAAAATTCAGCATTTCCATCACATGAATAAACAACATTTTAAAATATATAAAAATAGAAAACGGTTTAAATTATAATATTTCACATTATTACAGCATTTTTTTAAATCAAAATAAATGCAGCCTTAATGAGCGTAAGAGACTTCTTTGAAAAACATTAAATCAAGGCAAAATCTTGACCTTAAATTAACATGACTTGTTGTTGATTTAATGATGTTTATGGAAGTTATGTTTTGTGTTCAATTTACCAGAGCGGAGTGTTGAAGATCATCGACAGGAAGAAAAACATCTTCAAACTGGCTCAAGGTGAATACATTGCACCAGAAAAGATTGAAAACGTTTACATTCGGAGCGCTCCAGTCGCCCAAGTGTTTGTGCATGGTGACAGTTTACAGGTGAAATTAATATGAATTCCTTGCTATTTCTGATGATAAAAATTCTGGTTTTACATTTTGAAGTTTATTATTATGTAGCCTAATATCTTCAATTGAATGCGTCCAGTCCTCTTTGGTGGCCATAGTGGTGCCAGACCCTGAAGTATTGCCAGGTTTTGCAGAAATACTGGGAGTGAAAGGTTCACTAGAGGAGCTTTGTAGAAATCAGGTATGCGGTGTGTATTTACATAGTTTACCTTCGAAAATACATACATGCAAAAAATTGAGTCTGAAGGATTTCTGCTAGTTTACTTGTGTGGCATTTTCAAAATAGTTACATATTAAGTTTTGCTAATAATCGTCATTATTTTGTAGGAAATAAAGAAAGCAATCATCTCTGACCTTAACAAGCTGGGGCGTGAAGCAGGGCTGAAGTCCTTTGAACAAGTAAGCACTTTTATGATCCGTTAGGCTATTATAAGCATATATTATTGTTGAAGAAATAGTTCTCCCAAAAATGAAAATTTGCTGAAAGTAGATCAGATCTCATGCCGTCAGAAAGAGAGTCCAAACAGCTGATAAAAACATCACAATAACCCACAACACAACTCCATTTGATCAATTAATGTCTTGTGAAGCAAAAATCTGAGGTTTTGTAATCCATCAAGACATTTTTAACTTTTAATGAGACATCTCGTCTGAAGGTACAGTTTATGCACAGATCAAGCACTGTTTACAAGTGAAAATAGTCCAAAACAATTTTAAACAAATAAATCGGTGGATTTTGATGTCATTTTGATATATTGTGTGGTTTTCTTTTCACTTAATTGAACGTCTAATATAGTAATGTTCTCTTTTCAAGGTAAAAGACCTGTACCTGCATCCCGACATGTTCACTATAGAAAACGGTCTCCTCACTCCAACACTGAAAGCCAAACGGGCAGATCTCACTAAATTCTTTAAAGTTCAGATTGAGAGTCTTTATGCTAACATGTAGTGCATTAATAAAAGCTGAGGATATCCTGCGGTGTGACCATGTATTTATGAGTGCTGTTTGTGTTGTGATGTTTTTCTATATTTGCTCAAAGATGAAATATTTTATAAGCACTGTATCAATTTTAACTGCATGTATTAATCTGTGCCCAAGAGACTCATTGTCAGTTATGAAGACATATATGATTTGTCTGGATATGTTAATATAAAACAAATGTATGAACATCCTTAAAAAATGTAATGAATACCAAAGAATGTTCATTTATTTTTTTTCCAAGGAAGAAAATGTGAAAACATTAACATGTCAAAGTCAATACATCAATTAAACAATTGTATTTACATACAGGTGCTTTGTGGAGTAGAAACTAATTTTGTGGTTGCTTTCCATTAAAAAAACGAAGAAAATAAATTTACGAAATTACTATACCGATCACGGTTGTTTATTTGTCTCTGAAAACTTCAGCGAGGTTGACATCAGTTTTACAAAAAAGCAAGCCATCAAAAATAAAATAAAATTGTTGTTTCCATTATATAAACAATTCAGACAATTTGCATGACAAAGACCTTGTTACAATTGGAAAAAAAGCTTTGCATAATCAGTGTGGGCATCGACGAACGAGAGAGAGCAAGAGAAAGAGAAAGAAAGGCAAGAAGAAGAAATACGTTTCAAGTAAACATCTTAATAACCCCCTTTAGAGAATATACTGCCATATGCCCCAATCCCATTTTAATAAAACCCCTATTTCTTTCTCATTTGCCAGTTTCTCTGGCAGCTGTTCTTTGGAAATGAAATGTCATTAAGTTACGCAAGTGAATAACTTTGGGGTGTCTGTCAGTATCAATTTGCCTCAACACTTAGCGCTGGTGCCATTGAACAGCTTTACAAAAGAATCAGAAAGAAATTTGCATCTCAGCAGGGTTCAGGCCCTAATATTAGGTCCTCTGTTCAAAGCGAGCTGTGAAATATATAGTTCTGCATCATTGTTCTTTCTTTTCTTCATTTGTTGAATTATTCGCCGAGTCATAGTGACACTTCTCAACACATCTGCGTGGAAACCATCCTCTAATTTGAACTCCAGCTTTAGGGAGAGATATAATTTTAAACATCAAAATTACGAAACACTTTTAATTGCTGAATTTGATCATATAATATGTTGAAAACTTTACCTTTTGCCTGTTCCTCATTCAAAACTTTATCTCCATACATCCACCATCTGTTGATTAACAAGAACATATTTTAAAAAAAAAGAATATAAAATAAATTACTCTAAAAAGTAAAAAAAAACAAAACAAAAAAAATTCTCCAAAAACATCAAGACCTAATATTTTACATTACTGTTAAAACGTATGGGTTTGGTACATTTAAAAAAATGCTCACCAAGGCTGCATTTGTTTGATCACACAGTAAACACAGTAAAATTGTGTCAAAATTTAAAATAAATAGATTCTATTTTAATGTATTGTAAAATAGAATAATTTTTCAATTTATTCCTGTAATGGCAAAGCTGAATTTGATCAATTTCGCCAGTTTTCAATGTCACACGATCCTTTGGAAATCATTCTAATATGCTGATTTGGTTCACAAGAAATATTTATTATTATCAAAGTTTAAAGCAGTTTAATATTTTGGTGAAATCCACAATAATTGTTTTTTTTTTAGGATTCTCTGATGAATAGAAAATTCAAAAGAGCAGCAATTATTTGAAGTAGATTTTTTTGTAACATTATAAATGTATTTTCTGTCACTTTTGATCAATTTAATGCATTCTTGCTGAATCAAATAATTAATGAATTAGAAATTAGTCTTACTGACCCCAAACATTATTATATTATATTATATTATAACATGGCATTAAAACTGGCTAAAATATGGAAAAACATGCTGGTCTAATAGCATGTGGGAAAATTTATATATATATTTCAACATTCCCCATTGGAAGTTATGGACCAATAAAGTAACTAAAACCAATGGCTCACTTTGTTCCTCTTGTAGCAAAGATGGTCTCCCCCTTTGTGAGTTTGATCCTGGGTTCCTCTGTACAAGGTGTCCTAAAGAAAGTGTTCAGTCCCTTTCCCAAAGGGCAACAAGCACCATTGTAGTCCTCCACCACTCTGTACTCCACCTGTGAAGCAGACAGTCACCATTGTGTCAGTCCTTGCTGCCCTAAATAAATGCTGCCCTCTAGTGTTTAAAAGTGATTCCGGCAATACTCACACTCCTCTGACGTTTATCATGTTTTTGCTTCAGCTGCTCAATCTGAATAAAGAGGAAATAAAAAATATCATTACAAACTGAGCTATAGAGCTGTATTAAACTGTAATATGATACCTAAAGGATGATCAGTAATATGTATTATGTTGAGAACATACGGTTAGAGTATACTGGTTACACTTCTCATGCACAGGCCATTCGATTCCATCTCCTAAGGGGGTGCCGGACCAGGTGAACACCTGCTTGAAGTTCTTCCATCTGCTGCCCAAGTCATAGGGGAAGATGAAGTCTTCACATGTTTGGTAGTACTGGATTCTGTCTTTGGCCTGGGAACACAGAGATTCTTGCTTTAATGTAATAAAGCCCACATGACTTACTGAATTCAGAGGTGGTCTTTTGTCCTATACTTCCATAAGGTCTCATCTAGCCACAAAGACCCAATAAACACACGATTTGAATGTTTATACTGTACATGTGCATTTGGAGAGTCAACATGCAATATTTTTGTGCTGTATGCTAAACTCTATTTTAAACTGCATTGTGCTATTGTTTTGTAATTATTGTTACCTTATGAATGTTAAAACCTCAATTGAAAGATTACATGGAATATATATATTTTTTAAATTAGTGTTAATTTAAGGACAAATAATTTCTATTACATTCCATTTCAGTTACATTTCAAAATTAATTAAACATAAATTCTGAATGACTACACAACTGTTCAAAAGTTTGTGGTTAGAAAGTTTTTTGTAAAGAAATGACTTAAAATACATTTATTTAGCAATGGTGCATTAAACTGATCAGAAGTGAGAATATTTTTTATTTTATTATATATTATAATAATTTGAAAATGTTAAACAATTTCAAATAAATGCTGTTCTTTTGAACTTTCTATTCATTAAATAATCTTGAAAAAGGTATCATAATTTCCATAAAATATTAAGAAGCAAAATAAATAAATTAATAATAATAATTAAATATTTCACAAGATTACTGTTTTTTACTGTAGTTTTTATCAAATAAATGCAGTCTTGGTGAGAATAACAGAAATAATTTTTAAAAATCTGATCGACCCCAAACTTTTGAACAGTAGTGTATATTGATTTCCAGCTGTCTAGATTCTTGAACTTGAAGTACTGGTCGATTAAAAAGACATTCAGCACCTAAATGTGTGTGTATTTTGATGACACTAAGCGCTCATAGTTCAGGGTCTTTAAAGGGCTACTCCTCCTGAGAGAGTGTTGCTGTGTATTCAGGCTTAGGGAAAGAATATTGGATTAGGTCACCTCATTTAGAAGATAAGTATACTGGAAGCAAGCTTACTTTCTCCTCAATCCATGCTTCTACTGAGGTTTTGTTTCGAAGAATCACCTTCATCTAAAATAAAAGATGAATTTCTGATCAATATTCACTGTGGGAAACATAGGAAACATCCTTACAAGCAAACTATGGATTAAACAGACCTTATTTAATTTGTTATTAAAGAAAATAAGTAGTGCTGTCAAACAATTAATCGCGATTAATCGCATCAAAAATAAAAGTTTTTGATTACATAATATACTGTATGTGTGTGTACTGTGTATATTGATTATGTATATATAAATACACACACATGTATGTATATATTTAAGAAAAATATGTTATGTTTATATTTTAAATATATTTATATATAATATTAATTATATGAATAAATATATACATGTCAATATTTTCAAAATATATACTGTATGTGTGTGTATTTATATATACATAATTATTGATTTCCAGCTGTCTAGATTCTTGAACTTGAGGGACTGGTCAATTAAAAAGACATTTAGCACCTCTATGTTTGTAGATGTTGATGACACTAAGTGCTCATAGTTCAGGGAAGTCTTTAAAGGACTACTCCTGAAAGAGTGTTGCTTTGTATTGGATTAGAGGAGGGATACTGGATTAGTTTACCTCATTTAGCTGATAAGCACACTGTAAACAAGCTTACTTTCTCCTCAATCCATGCTTCTACTGAGGTTTTGTTTCGTAGAATCACCTTCATCTAAAAGAAAAGAACATTTCTGATCAAAATTCACTTATATAGCAAGCTATGGATTAAACAGACCTTTTTTTGTGAAAGAAAATAAAGAAGCAAAGAAAGGAAGAGCAGTCAATTCAAAATGACAAATCATGTCCTACCTGAATAAAAAACAACATCCCAACAGCAATAGTGGTACCCAGTGCCAGTCCCAGTGCAAAGAGAGTGGCTGCAAATGCTGCAATGCTGAAAGGCATGATGGGATGGTGGATGTGCCGAGCAGCGCTCATGTCAATCTTCACAGAGCTCCAACCAAATGAGATCTAAAGCCAAGAAAATGGGCAGCACATAATCACAACAACCATGAGTTAGAAAACTCAGCCCGAGCATTAGTCATAAAATGTATGAACATTTCAATAAAAGCTCATCTTAGCTTAGCCTAGCGAGCACACCGAGGTAATATTTTACATTACATGTACATTATGTGTCAAAGCTACAGCTGTTGCTTGCTATTAGAATTAAAGTGTGAGACAATGTGAGAAAACACTTACCCGATCATAAAGTTGAGTGTACATGGTCATGATAAATATTAGCGCAGCATGTATGCAGCCCAGTGGAGCAAGCAGAAGGAAGCTGGTGAAGTACGCATGGTTCAAGTGACCACAGCAGTTGTTGATCCAGGGACAATGATGATCCATCTTCATCACACACCTGAGGCAAGAAACCATTTTTATATTCACTATACGTTTTTGACATATAAAGCACATAGTGGTTTAATAATAAT